TCATTTGCGAATTGTCGAGGAATATAGACAATGAGAATAGGAGAGCGATAGCGATAGCTCAACGTGCATATATTTTTTGAATTGGAGTAGATTCCGACTCTAGTTGATACAGCGATACGCTATCACTTCCTCAGATGTTAACTACAAACACCTCGCTGCACTCCCCTTGTGTTGAACCTCTTTAATTTTCTCTCTCTTTGGTTTCGTAGAATCTCTATCTCTTGGCTTTTAAATATGGGCAAATGCTGACTTACCTAGCACAAAACGTGATTTGCAACGACTGTCCTGGTCTGAAAATGAGGGGTAGAGTAGATGTTTAAGGAGTGAATGAAGACCCGCATGGATACCTATAGAAATATCAAGATTTAAAACTAGCGCACTAGTACCGACTCTACCTCACACCGCGTTTAGATAGACTCACATGCATTATATAAAAGGTCATGTTTATACATCTTGACTCTCTCAATTATCCATTCCAAGCCAAGAATACTGGCGAAAAACATGTGTCTACTTCTGGGAATCCATCATTCAGATCTGATTTTGCACAACCTGTAGCAGAATGGCATATGGTGCTCATCTGTTTGTTCTTTTCCGTAGACATCTAAATGTGAAAATACAAATGACAGCGAGTGTTGGGGGACTGACAATCACTGGCTGTTCACGAGGAATGAGATAGTTTAGATGGAAACTGAACTTGACTCTTCAGTTGCGCATACTAGTATGATAGCCCAGGCACTATATCATCGTCTCACTTATTGAAAAGTGGCATTTTCAATACTCCTGAAGATATCGACTCCTCTTCTAATGGCTTCAATCATGAAGATCGGTTAGCTATACTACGTCCTACTTTTATACGCCCAAAGTTCAACAACCCCGTAGAGAACAGGAAGTGAATCCACACATTTTCTCTATGTTATCACCCATGTGAAGAGGATAATTCACTTTACTACTACCCTGGTCTAACTCGCTCTTGAACCGAATATCTAATAAGTCCCGTAGTATATAATATCATAATATGTAGAAGTTGTCTTGATTTATCTCTATGTGAGCAAGTTGAACTAGCAGAAGCAGTCATGGCTGTTTTCTCTTTCATGTATTGCGATCCTTTTCGCGCAGCTGACGTGGGCCAATTTTTGGAAGAAGCAGTTTTGAGAGGATAGATCGAAATGACAGTACTAGAAGAAAGTGACAATAGACAAAGAACATCAGATGATAGTGATTATTAATTGTGATGGCATCGAGAGAAGACAGCTAAGATCAAAGTGAGATTTAGAAAGGAACCTGGGGTAACCGGAGGGCTGGCAGGTAAAACCCGTTGTTAAAATTGATACCAGCGATTGCTTTTAAATGACTGCTTGATTCTAGTGTTAAGAGGTCTACATGTAGTCACTTATCGCGTGTTTTCTGGATAAGTTCCAGATTCAAAAGATGAATAGATTTAATGGTAATGGAATAGTGAAATAGAGAGAATATGGGTTATTCGGCGACAACAAGTAATCAAGAAAAACAACAAGCGTCAGACTCAGACTGATGAAATCAGAGGAAGGTAATATCTATCCGAGAGAGATTTAAAAGTAAATAGACGGAAGTCTCCATCGATCGGAGAGGTTTGTACTCAACTTCAAGCTTTCGTGAGAAGAGCTCCTTTACCATTTGTGCTTCGTTTATCTCATCGCATGACCTTCCAAGATCCAATTACTGAGATCTTTATATAGGTAATCAAATACGAGGACTTCAAATCTTCGTTTATTTTTGAGATGAGAGGAAGTTGAGCGGGGTAAGACGTTCATAACGATGTAGCCCAATAGAACATGTCTCGTAGGCTGGATTTAATAAATTCACTTATTTAATAGAAACTTGGAAGAGCTCTGAATCGTTGAGGAGATGTGGTAATTCAATACTGAATGGTAAATACGTACCATACTCTCCTGTCATGACTTTCTAGAATAGTCAAGGCTGATACATATAATGTCTCTCTCTATTAAGCTCTCTTTTCTAGTACCTATGTATTGTCACATTGCTGATATGCAAGATGGTTTTCTACTCCGATATATGAGAATTTATCAAGAACTGTATTGATGGTTGTTTAGACAAGATTACCACTTGATGTTTTGAAAATTTGTGATTTCTCCTAAAATGAAACAACTATTCTTCGCCAAATTTGACTGAATTAGGTTTCGTCTGATCCAAATAATATGCTAGGAGTAGATAACAATAAAAATATATTTCAGCGTGGCCCAAAGAATGACAGTGAGTTATACGTTTACCAAGATAAGATTCGCTTTGCTGTTCAAGATACTTTTCATAGAGACCTACTGTGTTACGTTATGAAAGTAGACATTCCATCCATCCTCATCTTCTTTGGCGGCATGTCTCTTCTTTTTAAATCCAGCTTTTCTCTAGGTTACACAAAACTAAGTTTACATGAACCTATTTAGAGAGAGTACAGAGAGAATCTTCCAGGGTATGCGTTTCAAGTACTAATTCGTACGAGCTTAAAGCCCCGATTTGACGAAAGTGAATGCGTCTGTCACTAAGCCAAAGCATTAGCCTCGAGACTACGTATCTTTCGTGAAAATAGCGAAACACGATACTAGCTCCTGGACTAGTCAAGCTTTTCTCCCTATTTATACGTCACCTTCCCCGCAAGCTTCCGCCTTCATCGACGTCCGGAAAACGCACACAAAATGAACATACATGGATGTCATGGCTGGCCAGCAAGCTGCAGAAAGCTCATGAAGACTATTCAATCTTCTATTCTGTGAAGTCTGGGTATTATACGGAACATCAAATCATCATATACTTGCGATGATTTTCATGATAATTGACAACAATAATCCTCCAACTCGGAGAGAAGTTTAGCCATCCGCAATCGATCGATAATCAAAGCCCAACAAAACGAACAGTTCCGATTCGTGTGGTAGAACCAGTCAATATGCGGACAACTTGCGTCATAGATTCATGATAAACACCTCGACGCTAATACTCCGCTCCTGTATCAAGCGCTCTTGATTCCTGGCGATTGAGAAAAATCGAGCTTAAGTAGTACTGTTTTCTTGTAACGAATACAGCAAATCCAGCTCCATTTGCAACCATTGATCATTTTAACTTTGTACTGTGTAAGGTAAAAGTCGAAAGTGAATTGTTGCCCAACGATTATAGTAAATTCGATGGGGGATTTAATTGCCAGATTCGGTTTCATCTGATCAAAAAGGTGATAATATCTGACAGCAATTGATAGGAAATGGTTGGACGACGGAACAAGCAATGAGTGGGCTATGTGGCAACGATTGTTGAAAGAGTAGGGAATGATTATGGACCGGAATTTGTAAAGATGCATGACCTCCGATTATATACCGTAGATTTGATACTTCCTGAGCACAGCGAACTTCCCAGCTGATATGATTCCACCATTGCTTGAAGGTTTTCATGGCGTATTTCATTTTGATACTATTTGTTGGGTCGATACGGCACTCTGTGGAGAAGTGTGAGGAGATCAGCTCCGGGTGAGGGTCTCTCGGTATGAGTGGACCAAGTCTCTGTAATCTGTGTGTTTTAGAGGCTAATCTGACCCTGTCTCGGAAGATCACTGGAGGGGGTTGCCTTTCCCTTGCCCCCCCTGTTTGTAAGCTCACAGCAAACGAGGTCTCACAAGCTTCTGATAACGGCATTGCGGGAGGAAATAATGAAATAACATCACTACATATATCGCTCGAGTATATCGTAAATAAGATACTATAGAAAGGATCTGCTACCTGTACATCAACCATACTGTTGCCTGTCGAGCCCCTACGCCGTTTGCCTTATTTATTCCTTGAGTCTTTCTAATACCTCTGCCATACTTTCATTCGACCGATTGATGTTCTATGGAGACTGATAAAATCATACATCCATTCCCGACAGTATCATCTACATTATACAATACGCCAAGCAACGAAGTACTGCTCTGCATTACCTTATCAGATCTCACCTTCCTGCCAAGACCAACCGTGTGTCGCAGATTTTACCAGGCTTACTCATTTATGCGACATGTATCCGACTTTTCCCGTCCACGAGCCAAAGCACCGTTGTCTAGACTCATCCACTTCATCGTAAAATTCATATTCGTTCAACGGTATTGATCATGAGCATGTCAAATGCAGAAGGAGAAGTCGAAGAATTATGCCGGTCGACCTTGGATCTACCCAACAAAACCCATCCCTTCCTAATATTTTCGGATATATCCAAAGAAACTCTCTCCTGCCATCGCTTTCTGTTGATCTCAATAAGATCACAGCTTCATAGATAGCCCTTGTGTTTTGCTCCTATAACCCCTTTATAAGCTTCGCTTGGCGCAAACCATTTGCATTGCTGAGTATTGAAAACCCTTAGACGTCAGGGCCTCCAAAGTGCGATTTGAATTTCTGAGGGCGTAAGCTTCATGCTCATTCTCTGCTCTCCAGTGAGGAGTTGTGAAGGTCAGCTCGTTATGAATTCTTCTGTTAATCGTTGACATTCAGGCCATTTTCATCTCTCGTTCATAATTCTCTGTCCTGCGCGCGTTTGCAGATACAAGATTCCTGCCCAGCACCAAGAGCTGGTGGTTCGTAAAAGGTCTGGCGTACAGAAGCTTATCCTTCGCTCTCCTTGTACAAGGTACTTACTCAGCCTTCTCAATACATATTTATTGATCTTTTCTCGCCCTTTCGTTCTTTGGTCGATTACCATTCAAAACCAAGGTTACCGGGGCCGTCTTCCAAGGTCATTTGCAAAAGCCTGGTGAGCCACAAGGGTCAGCCAAAAAGTCAGCCACCTCGTCTGAATACCTAGATATGGATCCCACAGCGCGTTCGACTACCAACATTCCATTTGTTGCATAATTCACTGGGCACAAATCGTTTAATACCATGTTGCAGAAGAAATTCTTGCCGCAAGGATGATATTGGTTCTTTTCATACATGCTTCTGTCGGTTTATGCCGACTTACCCTTCTCCCCACTCTTTTCAATTGTTATCCTCTCAATGTTAGCGACTAGTCCAGCCTTCGAATCTGAAAATACAGATGGTCTGAATTTACTTCCCCTTTCTACTTTGTCCTCCTCGGTAACTACATATACATTCGCCAAAATTCAAGAAACATATCCACAAAGTTTTATCCCGAATTTAGTGCTGTGAGTCTGCCTCCATCAGAAGCCCCGGGGCTGCGTCGTTTACCCAGGTCGAATGAGTTTTGCGGGTGTCTGGCCGTTGGCTTACGGCAACGTATCTTACCGCTACACAAAATCGAAGTGTCTACAACTATTGTTTCGGAAACCTTTAAAACAATACTCAAGCAAACCTTTGTCAATTCTGTGACATTGGAAGATGGCCAACTTTGCGCGTATAAGTTCTCTATTTACGACAGGGTCAGTGTTGTTGGGTTTAAGTGTAAATTTGGCTCAGATTGTCTCTACGGTTTCATGAAGGAGAGGAAACAAGCAGAAATCATTTATGATGTTATGGTAGCTAAGGGCGATACCGCCGGCATCATCGTACAAGTTCCCGAGGGGCCCAATTTTCTTGTCACAAGAATTGGTCATGTTCCGTTCGGAGAACGTGTTCATGTCGAGATCACTTATGCTGGAGAGTTGAAACAAAATATCGATTGCATGCGCTTCAGAATTCCAGCTTGGATCACTCACTGCTATGGCCTTAAAAGCTCCGCCAAGCATCCATCTACCGTTGAACCAGTCAAAAGTTCCATCGATCATATTACTGGCGAGATTAATATCACAGTGGATATAATATTACCAAAAAGAAAACTGATCAAAAGGGTTCAGTCTCCATCGCATATGGTCGCGGTGTCCATAGGAGCTGTTTCAACTGCCACTTAGGAAGTTTTATTGATAATATGGCGACTAGGACGCTGTCAAACATGCCCACTGATTTAGAGAAAGATTTCGTTTTAATCATACAGGCCAACGATATTGAAGCACCTTACATTACGCCCAGTTGGAAACTCACCCTACCATCCCAAATCATCGGGCCTTATTAGTATCACTTGTCCCCTCTTGTCCTCCTCCAAATTCGCCACCCTTTCAACATCAGAGATCGTTTTTGTTGCAAATCTTAGTATCAATATGAAAATAGATATTCCAATGCTCGTCTCGACTTTAAAAGTGTTTCTTAAGTCACTACCAACTAATTTTAAGCTCAACATTCTCTCTCTCGGAAACAAAAACGACTTCTTATGGTCCCAGAGCAAGGACTACAACAACGAAACTATCCAAGAAGCTATGCAATATCTAGAGATATTGGATGCAGGATATGGACCAAGGGAGCCGTTCGAGGCAATTCAAGCTACTATCGAAAATCGAATAGCTGAGATACCACTGGAAATCATTCTCCTTACTGGTGCAATCTCATTTATTTGTAAAAAGGTCCGATATCTAGAGCCCCTTTTACATTATTTTGATGAGCAGGTGGAGAAATCCCAAGGAAATATTCGAGTGTTTTGTCTTGGCATTGGCAATCCTGCTGCACATGGACTGACTGAAAGAATCGCTAGAGCAGGGAGTGGACTTTTTCGGTGTGTACAGAGTGGTGAACGATTAGACGCAAGTGTCGTCCACATGCTTCGTGGAGCACTTAGCCCACGGACGTGGGGTGCGGTCCTTGATTTTGGGTGCGACGAAGATGATGACTTCAAGTTGATTGATAAGGTCACAAAGAAATCGGAAGTTCTGCGGTCCGAGCACGAACGATCAAACACTTCTTCCTCATTAGTACCTGGTTCCAACAATAAAGATACCGATACATTTGAGACTTTCCATCCGCAAATCATCCAGGCGCCACATAGAATGCCTGGCCTATTTGCAGAAATTAGAACAACTGTATATCTACTTATTTGTCCGAGAATCACACAGAGAAACCCAGCGTGTATCATTTTACGTCACTCGCCATCTGACAGATTACCAATTCTCGAAATTCCAGTCCAAGTGCTCACAGAAAAAAAACCCTACAAATCCATCAACTTGCGGCTCGAAAGGCAATTCAAGAAATTGAACAGTCCCGAGGATGGATGCATAGCCAGACCACTTCCGAAACTCAAACCTTAGCCGAGAAAGAAATTGTTCGACTCGGCGAGAGATTCCACATCATGAATAACTTGTGTTCATTCGTAGCAGTTAGATCAAGTGACGAGGAAATTCTAAACGAGAAACTTTTCAAGCATAAAAGCTAGAAAATAAATGAAATAAATGAAAAGTATTAGCCGAAAATCTGAAGAAAGGTCTATTCACCTCACTTTCGATTTTTTCTTTAATCAAAAACTTTACCACTATATCATTATACAACATAATACAGAATATGTTAAATAAACAATAATATAATCTAATTCTAATACAAATAGATTTTTTACATAAAAATAATTACCTTAAACTAAATCTAAGACCTTATTGATTGAAATAAGCTTTGTTAAATCCAAAATTCAGATTAATTCGATTAATATATTAAAAACGATTCTTACAATACAATATTGATTATGAAATTTTTGATTGTATTTAATAAAACAATTACTTCATCAATTACAGAATCTGCCACCACAGGGTTACTAGTCACCTATATATCCTTTTTTTAAAGCATCAACGTAAACAAATTCCCCCTCTTCCCCCATCCCCCCCCAAAAAACTTGATTCTAATATTTATCATCGACTATTCATAACATAATCAACTACCTACCCGTAGGTGTATCAAGGTCGCTGCCGGTCAGAATTAGTACTACCGACCACGACCATCTAGGGTGGTGAGCAGGCAAGTACTCGCATTATTTTCGTAAATCCAACCACTCCAATCATCATTACCACATAGCGAAAATCTCTCAACCGGATCCGTACCGTACCAAACCAGGAATACTCTCAACATTGTTATCACAGAATTTCGTCACATAACACACTCCCAACTTTTGATATTGAATCCTGACAGATGACAGCCAACTATTGCTTTCCATATCCATACTACTAATAAGTAATCCCCTATAAATTTATATTATTATCAATAGTACCCACCATACACCAACAAATTTCCTAGAAAAACAATTAGTAATATAATTACAGAAAGAAGTTCAATCACATTGGCATTACGATACTCTAGGTCTGATTTCCGGTCCCCAAGATCTACCTAACCCATATGTTGGACTTCAGCCTCGAGATACCTGTTAATTAACCATTGCCACCTATAATGGATGCCACGTGACTACAATCCGTATCTTATATATAGAGCATACGTTGTCACCTTATTGAACTCAATCAAATCACCATCACGTTCTTCATTATCGTCATACCACACTCAAAGATCAACTACGAGCTCTTCTCTCATACATTCACATCCAAGCCGATAAGAAATAAAGGAAGATAATTTCCTATACTCTTTTCCATATATACATCTCTATCAATCCAAGAGAACCGTTCAAACTTATTCGCATTTCTATACATCATGAGTAGTAATGTATCCAGAGGATCCAAGGCGGACAAGAGCACAGAAGGCCAACGCCCACGTCAAAGCAGCTCCCATAAACCAAAAGCACCACAAGCAAAAGAGTCACGCAATGATGAGCAAGGAACAGTCTCTGTCTCAGAGAACCGTGCTACTCGCAACAAAATAAAGAAACTGGAAACGGACTTGGACAGTATCAGAAAAAATCGGCCAGAAGCTACAAAAGAGATAGCAGATCTAGAGAAAGAGTTGAGCTATCAGAGAAGCATATGACCGCGATGAGAAGGCCGAAAGATGATGGGATTCTACTTGAAACAAATCAAACCAGAAGTTACGATACAAAGTTTTCCATTTGAGCAAGCGAAGGGTTATACTCTGACTAAAAGAATGACTATATCAAACTAGAGAGAATATAACAAGATGAGAATTACAGCCAAATCGCACATGAAAATCCAGGTATAATGTCTTTGGAAACCTTATACATGACGATTATTTGAACGTAAACATCACTCACTACCTACCTATCGGGAATAGATATCAGGATCGTATATCTGATACAGCACTATTACATCAAGCTATGATGAGTAGCTTTGCATAAAATGTGGTCTGGTATTGACGGACTACCCAGCTTTTATAGATTCCTAATGGATAGTCATATCAAGAAAACTTCGCTATATTTCCCTGATGTAGTAATATCAGGAGTTGTGCTGAGTACCTAGGCAGATAGGTATGCAAAAACACTCTTTTTTAATGTGCAAGGATGAGATGAAACGAGACGAAAAAGAGTTTATCTTGAAGATGAGATGAGAATTGAAATTGAATGCGCTTAAACAAATGAATAATTGTTAAATCTCACTGGAGATATCTATCAACAGTAAAAAGTAGTACTTCGTAGTTCCTGAATATTACATTTGAGATTATACTATAATCGAATATATAACTCCAAGAATCCAACCCATTTGGATCCGAATACCTACCTACCCAATCCAAACACCATATTCAACCCAATCCAGCCCAGCCCAGCCCAACCTCATCCGATTCATACATCATTTATTCAGTCGTTCTCTTCTACCCCTTCACCCTTAAGGTATACTCTCCAGAACATCACTCTCCTCTGGTCTTTGTAGAAAATCCGGTGGTCCACCCGCAGGTAATTGTCTTTCCTCTGCCCATTGTCTTATGGCATCGAAGTTTTTGCATTGGTGTTCGGTGTTAAAGTCTACGAATGCTTGTGGCTTGGATTTATCCCACCATACTTGGCCGAGGACGCCGGTATCGACTTGGCACATGAGTTGTTGGCGGATAATATCTAGACAATGGGCTGGAGGATGTTAGTATATGTTTTGTGGAGGTATTTATGAGATGTATTGGAATAGTTTGTAACGAAATAGTAAAATCGAGATAAACTTACAGACGTGGTATTGAACGATATTATCATCATTCACAAATGCTCCTTTTCCTTGATCGCGATAATAATCGTAATTATAATAGAGAGATTGTCTCACAAGGTTAAGACAATGCAAATGATGTAGTCCTTCCAGATTTACCGGAAATCCTCCTCCGTATTTTTCGTTGATTTGAACATGAGCAGATGTCAATCCGGATTTCTCTGCCTCACTCGCTGGTAATGCGAAACTTCGGTCTATGGATAATTAGCTTTGGTCGAGTCAATTGAATCATATATACAATAGTACTTACAATGTACTCCCAGGCTTCCCCATGCTGCATCCACTTCCGGGCCTGCTTTTAATCGGAACGCATTTTCTTTCATGAATGATCCATTGAACATCACTGGCTGATATGATGTATCGATATCATTCAGAATAGGAGCTATTTTCGCATTAGAACAAGAGATGGGAGATTCGAATGCTGGGTCATACAGTAATGTTGCACATAACTAGGACACAATTTCGCGGGATCCGCTACAAATCGAGAACCAATCCATATACCCAATCCAACTGACAACAACGATACTACCGGCAGTGATAATATATACCAAATGGTGCCATTTCGTCTGGATGTTGGCTTATACGTTGGCTCGGGATTCGAAAGTAAACCTTCACCATCTTCTGATTGAGGTACTTGATTGTACTTGTCTGAAAATGGAGAATAGGACATATCGACAAATGGATATGGTGGGGTACAATTTGAAGTTCAAGATGCAGGAAATCTTGGATAACAATCAATCATTCAACAGTATACAATATCCGAAAATATCAGATGAAAATACAAATTAACTTTGATAGAAAAGAGGAGATGAATGAAGTGAGGTTAGGAAAAGGGTTTGTTCGTTCGACTCGATCAGCGACTTCGCCATCGAAGTATCTATCTAGGTCGTTCAAATACTTTTAGTACCGATTCTCTAGTCAAACTCAATTGAACCCTAGACTATCGAATGGAAGTAATGATCCGATTTGATAAGAAGAAAACATGCCACCAGATTGGAGAGACTCATGACGCATGTTCCAAGACTTATTCAAGGGCTTAACTTGTGTTGTGCTGTACGAGGTTGGCTTGGTGGTTGAAGTGGACCTAATGCACGAATGTGGGAAAAACCGATGGAGGCTTGGAAATACCGGTATGGTGAGATATGGTGAGATGTCAAAGGTAAGAGATACTCGTAGAAGGGAGCAAACACGTTGAGAACTTGAGAAGTTGAGAACTCGAGAACTTGAGGTGACTCTCCAACCCCCCGGTGAACTGATCGACAAATCACTATTTAGTGGAGAGACCTGCGGGCTGCGGGTATCTTTCAGGGATCATATTTATACCCAGACTTGCCCAGGTAGGGTACACATCGCTTATGAATTTAGTGTCGGATAAGCTGGAAAAAAAGGGAAAATAGGGTCCGACAGCTAACCCTCTTTACATTGTGTTGTCAATTTTACTTGGCGGTGTTGTTTCTTGTTTCTAAATATACTTCTTCAATTCACTTCACTAAGTTCACTTCCAAGGTTCATGACTAGAGAAGCTAACAAGTCAAACGAGCTTTGCACCCGTTCTCACGACTTTTCACGTCAACTTAAGGTTTTTTGACAACACCACCCTTTTTCGTATTCTTCTCACTAGAACTACTGTAACCTAGATACCCTCCATACCCTTGATACCCTCCATACCCTCCATACCCTCAACATCCTCGATACCATGAAAAGTCAAAATAATAAGCATTTCACTATATCTGATCTTATTTTTCCTTCCCCACAATCGAAAAGATGTCCAATTATCCGGTCGTTCCAGAATGCCAAGATCAGAAAGAATGGATCTTCGTGCGTTCTCGTATCAATCACCTGAACGTAGATCATCAAAAGATACGAGCCACCCAACACGAGTTTAAACTGTTAGACCCCGCAATTTCCATGCAACCTTAGTCTATTACACCATATTCCAAACTCACATAAGCCTTTCACCGATGACATGTTATGAATATCCGCTGCGGCGACATTATTTTCCGCAACACTCAAATGTACGATTAGCCAAGTGGCTATGCAGATACGAATTAAGCGATGCCGCGATAGGAATACGTAGGTATTCAGAAGCTTAGTTGGTGAGCCGATTTTCCCCATACGTACAATGTGCGGGATAGGATGTATCTACTTGGTCTCGTACTCCTTACTTCCGAGTTCTATCACGTCTTTAGGTTGCTATATCGCTGAATAGCTATCAATATCAATGTCGGTGTGTTAGCCCGAGTGGGAATTTCACAAGTATCATGACGTGGGAGTAATATCGTGCCCATTAAGAAATTTACAACTTGACCGATTGAATGACACGTTGCCAAGAATAGATACATTTGATGCTTTTCTTACGTGGGTGAAAGCATCGCCTGTTTCGGTAAGATGTATCCAAATGGATATTTTTGACAATACATCGAGGCGGGTGTCTAGACTCTAGGCGGATGGTAGTATCCTGAAGTTATTTAAGATCTATCACCCCACGACACTTATTCATTATTCTCATCAATCATCATCTTCCTTCTTCTATTACTCATCTCTCTCTCTATCATTCCCAATCAATTTACTACAATCAAATTACATTCAATATGCTTTTCTCAAGAGACTTCATCATGCTTTTGGCATTCGCCGCCGCTGGCGCTGTCGCTGCACCTGTTGCAGAACCTCAACCAGAAGCCAAAGCTGATGCTTCCCCAGCGGACTATGGTGACTGTAAGACTACCTCCATGATGGCCTTGGAGTAGAGTGCTAATGCATATTTCTAGATGGTGATTACGGAAACTATGGAACATACGAGAAATACCCATCTTCTTCCTCCGTTACACCAACACCAACACCAACTGGATATGGTAGCTATGCCAGCTGTAAGTAGACACATCAATTATATCTTTTGAGTCCAGTCTAATGATTTCGTAGACGGTACCTACAAGAACAAGAAAGTCAGAGAAGCCGCACCAGAGCCTGCCCCAGTAGCAAAGCGTGCTGACTATGGAAACTATGGAGACTGTAAGTCAATCAATTTCAATACATTTCATAGGCTTCATGTTCAGATCAATTTATTCTTTGGAAACTTGGATTTATGACTATGAAATGCTGACCCAACCTCCTATAGATGGTGACTACGGAAACTGTTCGTACATCAGGAGCTATTTTGATACAGTACTAACATCATGATTCTAGACGGTAACTACGAAAACTATCCTTCCGCCACCCCTTCAAGCTCCTCATCAAGCTCCTCATCAGCTACACCAACTCCAACTCCAACCGGTTATGGCTCATACGCAAGCTGTAAGTCACACGTATCATACATATTGCCATCGACTAATCATTTTTCTCAGACGGAGCATACAAGAACAAGAAAGCACGTGCTCCAGAAGCCAACCCAGAAGATTATGGAAACTATGGTGATTACGGTGACTGTAAGTCCAATCTCGATCTCTCTTTCCTTAAGCCATACTCGCACTCTCATATGTTCTCAATTGTCTCATGGGTTCTCCTGAGCAATGCTGACTTTGCGCTCTGTTCATTCAGATGGTGACTACGGCAACTGTCCGTGAACTTCCTCGCTTTATCACTATCCCATCCCTCCCTCCCACTGCATCTTATCCACCCAATCCCATTCCCACACGCATAACTAACCATTCCTTCTTCTAAAAACAGACGGTAACTACGAAAACTACCCCTCTGCCTCCACCTCTTCCACCACCGTCACCCCAACCCCAACTCCCACCCCAACCGGCTACACAAACTACGGTTCCTACGGTACCTACGACAACTACAAGCGCGAAGCCGATAGCGCCTTAGCTTAAGCCGATGATCTTT